AGTCTTAACCACCGATTTTTATCAGCCTTAATAACGGTGTTGTTAGCTTTAGCCTTGTTTATGGTATTGTTTTATTAGTCTTAACCACCGATTTTTATCAGCCTTAATAACGGTGTTGTTAGCTTTAGCCTTGTTTATGGTATTGTTTTATTAGTCTTAACCACCGATTTTTATCAGCCTTAATAACTATGTTGTTTTAAGCTCTTAGCATAACCTTGTTTTCTCTGATAGCCCAATGTCTTGTATAAGTTTGATCCATCAATAACAAAATGTCAGCTCTTATTTTTATACATTGTTATATTTCACACAGTTCTTTCTCTTATGATAAAGTATTGTTTATTTTCCAGTGTTGTTTCAAACCCTGCCGTTCGTTGTTCAGACATAGCTAACAGAAGCTGCGCAGGCGATAGTCTGCTATACAAGAAACCTGATTAATTTGTTAAAGTTCAAACAATACGTGCATCACCCCTGCCGTCGAGGCAACATTGTAACAGGTTATGTGATAGGTTTGGATTTTACTTGTAAAAACCTTTTATTTTTATTTCCTATTGGAAATATGGTATGATAAAAACAGTATAATTATTCAAGCATGTGATATGACATTCCCTCCAACTCCCCTATACCTGTACCTCTGATGAACCAGCCCGAATCTTTTTTTCTTTTACAGTCCTACGGCGATGATGACGTCACAAGACCAGGTAACAGTATAAGACAAGGCTGAGTTGTAGTATGGGTCACATTAAGTTGGGACGGCTGGTATTAGGACGTTGCTATGTTAGTATAGTGTCTTGTAGACTACCATTTTTAGAGTGTCTGTTACCCTCTAAGTGATATATTGAAAGCAATATAATATCAGTTCTCCTCAAACGGTGTTATTGATTTCACGTGCATAATATACTCTCCACGCCCAAGACGAACGAGATCTTTTAAAATTCGCAACTATAATACGGTTTCTCGATAGCAGTAAAAACTGAATAATTTAAAAAGCGGCGTTTGTCGAACTCTGAACATCGTCTTGTTTTCAAGGTGTTCACTACCTCATTATGGAAGTGTTGTTAAAGCTGTTAATAGTGTGGTGGTTGACAGAACATTTGATGGTTGCTACTGAAAAAGGTGAGTTTATATCTTAACTCGGTAACCCTAATAATTAAAATTGAAAAAGTAGTTAGCCCACATTAACATATTTCATTGTGATATTTTAAAAATTTATCATCGAAATTATTCGTATCGATGTAAGAGTCTCGGACTCTTTCTTGATTTCAAGATATTTGTGTATATATATTTTCTGTTCCTATTTGTATTATATTGTACTAATATATAGCTTATGGTGTGTGTGTATATATACATATATAATAATTCTGTTTCTGTGTTGTGTTTTGCTAATATTTCTTTTGTTTTGATATTCATATGCTCTGTCGTGTTTATGTTTGTATTTGATGTGCTACAACCACAACAATGTTAGGAGTTACTGTTAGCATTGTTGCACGTGGTAAGTGCACACAGGACGTTCAACAATGACATCTATAAGCAGATTTGGAAACTCAGTCGTGATCGCTTACTGTGTTGTACTTGGCCTACTTGCATTAGCTTTTGTATGTGTTACACTAGGATTCAAATTGCCGTGTCGTCGACACTACATTGGGCTATGTGGCACGCGACTTCCGCGTTCAGTGGGAGAAGTAAATATCCTAGTGGTTAATAACTGATAACGTATCTGTTTAAATAAGGTTTGGCAGAGTTCAAGAACAGCCATTGGTTTTGTTTTTATATGTTGGATTAAGACTTTGTTTTACAGTAAAACAAATGTAACGTCATGTTTGACTATAAATTAACATAAGCTATTTGTTTTAGATGTATAGTCAGCCCTTCACTCGCCACTAATACTCTAAGTTTCGGTAACATGTAACGTACCGTCACTATTATTATTATTATTCGGGGAAGCAACTAGCAACACTGATGAGCTGTGAATTCGGCGAAACTAGTCTGTTGTAGCGGAAGTAGCGAATCGAACAGTGAAGAAAAACTAACAAATAACCAGTCAGTTCACTGACAGTAATGGTATGTCGCGTGCTTTCCAAACACCCAAGTTATTAACCTCTCATTGCGAGGGTATTGCAGTCGGGTTCGTGTGTGTATGGGGGGGCAGATAGGGTGTTGTTTTTATTTTATTTTCTGATCATATTGTACACATTGTTTTACACATCTTTCTATAAACCAGAAATTACTGGTATACCTTCAGTATTCCATTTCAACGTTACATCCCCGAAGCTCACTCTACACTTGTTACACAGTCGCATTTCTTGAGTTTTGATTTATCTTTTATTGGCCTTGTATATTTTGTGAGTCTATATCTCTTCTTCCTTGTTCATTTTGGAAGTTTAGTCTTCTAAGACACTTCATCACCGTGTTGTTGAGTATCGTGATATTGGAGGGTGTGTCTGCTTTAATCGTTTCTTGCTGGTAGTTCTGAATACATCGAAATTAATGTGCTTACGTTCCATCACTGTGTGAGGCCTAACTTGTTTCCTATTCCAACCAGCACCGAGTTCCGTAAAACTAGCTTGTTCAGGTTGTTGCAGCGGGAGTACCGAATCCAAAAAATGATGGTTTTTACCTTCTTGATCGTCAAAACCTATAATGTTCTCACATTTTGTGTTCGTTTTCGGAATTTCATATTGTGGTAACATTATTTGTATTGATAATTCCTGATCTAAGTGGCTGTAGATTCTTCGAAACTAGGCCAATACTCTTTCATACGCTGATCTAAAAGTCTCGTAGTTGATCCGCGTAATCTCGTCTACATAGAGAACAAAAATATCTATAAACAACATAGTTAAGCGTTGAAGTTTATTAATTCTGTTCTTTATCGTAAGTTCTCAATCTTTATATTGATTTTAAGGACAAGCACAACTCTACTGTCTGAATAGACTATAATTGTTTGCTTCTAGTTTTACTTCTACGATTAATTACCTTGATTTCTTTAATTATGTATAATTTACCTGTCAAAACTTCCACCATAAATAGGATTTATCATTTAATTCCCCAAGTTTTATCAAAACGTTGAAAGTTTAATCCTCTAGATAGTACCTTCTATTTCTGGAAGTTTTTAATCACATAAGTTGATTTTGTTTAACTTTATATTTTTTTAAATCATTTAATCTAATTTGTTGTAGTTCCTTATTTGTTTCAAATTTATTTTTATAATTTTTTGTTTGTAATTAAGCACAAAGCTACACAATGGACTATCTGTGCTCTGCCTACCACGGGTATCGAAACCCGGACTCTAGCATTGTAAGTCCGCAGACATACCGCTGTACCACTGGGGTGGGGCATTTTTATAATGAGCAAATGTCAATCAAGATCTTAAAGTTTGGAATTCTTAACTTGAGAGAAAATAAATATATAGTCTGATTATTACCATTATTTTTTGATTCTGGAACTTTATGGTCGTGGATCTTAATAATAATGACTGTTATTTTTATCTTTAAATAGAAAAGTTTTTGGTATCTGTTTCAATCTCTTGCACTAATTTATTCAGATATTTCGGTCATTCATAATAGAGCTACGTGTCTGGTTCTCTACTAACCACCGTACATTTACTTCTACTCTTAAAACTAGTTTGTCTTGTTGAAGGCCACTTTCCATAAGTCCGTATTTAATAATGGAACTTTATGACCAAACTGTAAGGTTGTCCGTATTCTGGTGAACGATAGATGGATAGCAAGAGGAGAACGTGTCTGTTGTGGTGGACAAAATATGGGGGGAACGTGTCTGTTGTGGTGGACAAAATATGGGGGGAACGTGTCTGTTGTGGTGGACAAAATATGGGGGGAACGTGTCTGTTGTGGTGGATGATAAGGAAACGAGATTGTATTTGATTTTAACAATAAAGAGACTAGTGCCGGTTCTTACTTTTATTGTAGTGAAGAAATGGGGAAAGATTGTTTTTTATTGTGATGTAAATTAAGGACGGTTTGGGGGGGGGGAGGCCAGAGGTTGTTTGAGGTGAAGGATTGAAAGTTTGTGTGTGTAATATGGATAAAATGCCAAATTCCTTGGCATATCAGTAATGTCTTGTTCAACCATACAACCTTTTAGTAACTCAACCTGACAGTTACTTGCATGTATTGAGAGAAGAACGAACACAACTGTTGTATATCGTTTAGTAATGTACAAAGGTTTTTGCGCAGAATGAAAAATGTGTAACGCAGTAATCTGTCGCTAGAGCGACTTTTTACGAGTTCTTGTAACAGTCATTGTTTAGATATTGGAGCAATATCTGTATTTAATAAAGCGTGGTTTAGGTTTCAGTTCTATAAAACGACGTGTTTATGAAAATAAGTAAACGAAATTCAACTTATGCAACACTACACGTGCTTAGTGTGATTTTTAAAGCTTCTTATTTGAACTGTTTTTTCTCTAGAGTTTATGGCTACCTGGATCATTTTGTATCAATCTCGAAATTCCCAGACGGCTTTTGTTTGCGCTTGCGCATTATGCATGAAGACTGATTATAAAAACTAGTAAGACCACGTTATTTTAACACGTATTATGATATCGGAGCCTGTTACGTGTCAGTAATGTTTCTGTCGGCAACTACAACAAACTCTACGTGGTAAGACCACGTTATTTTAACACGTACTATGATATCGGAGCCTGTTACGTGTCAGTAATGTTTCTGTCGGCAACTACAACAAACTCTGTGTGGTAAGACCACGTTATTTTAACACGTACTATGATATCGGAGCCTGTTACGTGTCAGTAATGTTTCTGTCGACAACTACAACAAACTCTGTGTAGTAAAACCACGTTATTTTAACACGTACTATGATATCGGAGCCTGTTACCTGTCAGTAATGTTTCTGTCGGCAACTACAACAAACTCTGTGTAACGGAAAATATGTTTGTTTGTTTGTTTTGGAGGTTTTGACAGTTGAGTTCCCCTCGAGGTTTATTACCTACAACTCGCTCTCCCCATGGTTCGGGCGTGGCCTAGTGGTTATAAAATGTCGGGCTGTGGATCCAAGGGTTCGGCGTTCGAGATGGGATGTCATTGAACTCGCCCGGCATTTTCAGCTGTGAGAACGCTATAGAAGGGACAGTCAGTTCCATTATATTGTTGAAACAGCTGGACGAGATTTTTGTTGCGGTGGGTTCTGCTCTCTGGCTGCTTTCCATCTGGTCAGTAATTCAAAATTAGATTTCTGAATCCTAAGAGCTTCTGAGCTGGCCGTCCACCGATAAGTTTTCGGACTTACAACGCTGAAATCCAGGGTTCGATTTCCCGCGTTAGACAACGGCATGTAGTCCAATGTGGTTTTACTCTAAAACAAACAACCTGGCCACTCAGCTCGCATGCTCGTGAGGTTTTTGTAATATTTAGACAAAGGTAAATTCTTGAAGCGCGAAGTCACTTTAACGATTATAGGTTAAAAGAAATATTGGAAATCACCCCGGGGGACAAAATCAATACATAAAAATGATTCCACAGATGATGAGTTAATACTATTTTCTTTAGTATTTGGGAAAAGTTACTGGAAGCTAGACGGAGCCACCTAAAATACACAGAATAATAAAATGTTCTGTTTTTTTTTGTTTTTGAACATTTTTAATAGTGATGTTTGAAACGGTTTTAAATCTAGGTCTCGTACCAGTGACTTAAGAAATCGGACTGCTGACTTCTTGTTTTCGCATTATTATATTCCAGACAACGTGAACCGATGGACGTGAAATGCTATTCTAACATATTACATATATTATAATAATAATAATAATAATAATAGAATTGGAACAGACAAATGAATAATAAGAATAAATTAAGTTGTTACTACTTGTATATTAGGCCTAATGGATTTCGAACGTTTGCAACTAAACTTCGAAATCTTTAAATTAGGCTTAAAAACGAGCATTTGGTCCCGACGTCTAAGTTTCTAAAACAGGTTCGAAACACACGCTGAAATCTCCCAACCATGCATTGTTTCGTATTTTTTACGTCTCCGTTCGTTAGTTAATTATCCGTAAAAATTCT